TTCTCTTTTTTTTTTTTTTTTTTTTTTCTCGGCTCTTCTTTGTCTCTTTTGTGCCAGCTGTCATTGCCTGGCTGCTTGGAATCAAATGCTATCTTAGAATCAAAACAAAAAAAAAAAAAAAAAAGAAGGAAAATACGACTTATTAAGGCATGCCAAATACATAATTCACCATTTAAGCATTTATGAGTGTTTAGTATGCAGTAATCAAAAATCATATTTTTAAAAAAGTAATAGAAGATAATATAATTCTCAAAAATAATATGTTATTATGTTTAATTTCATACATAAATCTTGTCTTAAATTCTCAAAAATAATATATTACTATGTTTGATTATGTATAAGAATATTGTATTAAAAAAAACATATTTATTTTTAAATGAATAATTACAATTAGCACTAATATTACAACCAAAACAACAACATCATTAACGGAGTCTAACAAAAAAAAAAATATAGAGCTATTTTCTCTTTATTTTTTCCTTTTTAGTTTTTTTTCTTCCATTAAACGGACCCCATTTATGGGCTTTTTTTCAAGCATTATTAGGACCAGGATTACAATCTTTTTTTGCAAGAATAGAACATATGTCTCGCCTTCTTCCTTATCTAATACTAGTTTAAAGGCGTGCAGTCAAGTCAAGATAATGGCCATAATAGATACGGATTCAACTATAACAGATAATGGATTCAACAAGAAAAGAAGAAAAGAAAAAAAGAAGATACCCTGGTTGATACGGATTCAAAAGGAAGAAAAAACCAAGAAAATCACATACCCTGGTGGTGGCGGCAAGAAAAGTCCCGCAACGGCGGTACATTTCTGGTGGTCGGCGGTGCATTTCTGGTGGTCAGCAGCGGCGTGGGAATAGATGGGTTTTAAAAAAGTCCAATAATTATATCAAACATAAAAATTTTTCAAATTCTCATTCTCATTTCTGAAATTATCTCATACTAAACACCCCCTTAAGAACTACCAATTAGTTGAATGTTTTCTTGGTCCTGAAGAACAAAATTGATATAAAAGAATAGGATAAATTTGATTGGTGGGTGAATGAAAAAGGAAAAAAATTTTATTTGTTGGGGTTTGTATAAAATTTTTAAAATGGGTGAAACAAGTAAAATAAAAGGTAATTTAAGAATGTGTGTAAAAAATAAAATTAGGGGTGATTTAATTGTGGGGGCTTTTTTAAAATTTTAAAAAGAACGTAATAAGTAAAATGAACGGTGGTTTAAGAATGTGAGTATGAAAAGTAAAAAAAAAAAAAAAAACTCAAACGCTAATTAGTTCACAAAACAAAGACAAAATCAAAACAACTAAAAATATTCAAAACGACAAATACTCGGAAACAATGAGAATAAAGTATAATGATAGAGACGTTTGGTTGAAGGATTCAAATTATGTGATTCGAATCATTTTCGATTTACGTAAATTTTTTGTGAGAAAAAATATTGTAGCGAATCACGAATCATGATTCGAATAAGGGAACGAATCCCTCTACCAAACATTAAACTTAAAAGCTGATTGCAACAAAAACTTAAAAGGTACAGAGAAACTTGGAAGCGACGAGAACGAAAAAACAGGAAACAATTAAACGGTAGCCACGAGAGAACGGAAAAACAACTAACAACAAAACTAGGGAAAACTTAAAAACGAAACACCGGCAATCCGGCATAAGATACCCTCAAAAAAATAAAAATAATAATAAAAATAAAAGTTAACAACGGCAGTAATACCTAAACACGACAAGAACAAAATGTCTCAAAAATTTTGAAAATGATAACTGCTTGAGTTACTTGACAAACCATAACCAGAAAAAAAAAAAAAAAAAAAAGGAGCGAAACTTCTAAAGTAAGGAGGAGGAAACTTACTGCTAACTCAAATAAGTAATGGCTTTTACTATAGCATGCATAGTACAGATTTATTGTTTATTTATTTATTTATTTATTGCTTTAGTTAACACCCAAACAGATTGAGCTTTTCTAACCAGTCACTTTTTCTCCCACACGGCAAAATCTTGTCCACTGTAAGCAACCTGGTAATCCGAAGGAAGAAGATTTCCCAAATCCGTTTTTGGTCCAATCTTCATAATAATCTTTTCATCAATTCTTGACATATAAAGGTCTGCTTCGGCGGCTAATATGTTCACAACGCTTCTACTATTAATGCCATGTCGATTCCTAATTGCGGTTACATTGCTTATCGGCGCCATAAGCTCCCGCTTAATGAAAAGGTGATCATAGAACTGCAAAATATGGTTCATGGAATTCCTAATTAGTTGACCAGATATATGTGACGTAAAAATGTATAAACATTGTTAAAAAGCAAAGAGTAATTACAATTGTTGGGATTCCAGGGTGAGTTAAGATGTAAACATATCCAAGCATGATTTTGTCTTCCGGGAAAGGCCAAAGCTTTTGGGACCAAGTATCATGATTATCAATAAACGTCACTGCACTTTCTGGCTTTATACCAATCAATCCCGGAGGCTTTCCGTTCGAGTCCTTTAATCGCCATAGCTCTCCTTCGACAGCAGCTTGTAGAATTCCCTTTGTAGTGAAGTCAAATGCAGTGACAGAACCACCAGCAGCTTCCACCCAATTAACCAACAAACCGCGATGGTAATCCTGATTAGCATTAGGTTTACCATCCTCTCCAACTGCGAATTCTTGGCGATCCCATTTCTCTCCAACTGCAAATTCTGGCGATGTCTGTTCCATGTAGATTTTGGTGATGTTAGGAGCATATCCCCTCACCATGTCGAATCTCCATCCAACAAATCCGATTTCGGTCTTCAACCAATTCATCCATTCTGATAGCTCTCTTTGCACCTGTGGATTAAGGTGGTCGATGTCGGGTACTTCTCCCCAGCTGTCACCCGTGTCAAGGTTCCCGGTGCCATCGGAGAACTCGGTGTCGTCCCTGCAGATGAATGAGGGTCCCCAGTCAAGACGTGCATCTGAAGTTCCACCTTCAAAGATGCATAATATTCCTCTCTCGTCTCGCTTCTCAGCTGACCTATGGTTTAGCACTATGTCAGCAATGACCTTGATTCCTTTTTCGCGCAAAGCAGCGATTAGTGATTTTAGCTCTTCCTGTGTTCCATATTTTGATGCGTTGAGATCATACAACCTTCCCGGCAAGTAACCTGTAAAAATCACCATATTGTTAGGCATTAATTTAGCTGATATAAGAAACATGGGAAAATCTAGACTGCGTGTAGATATACTCGTATTATAATTTTATATCATTTTCAATTATAAGGATCAAAGCGAAGCTAGAGAGAGGGCTATGGTATTGGCAGTAAGCAAATGAACAGTAAAAGAACAACAGAAGCAGAAACAATTACCTTGATCTGCAGCGGAGTGGGAAGGAGGAGGCAACCAAACATGAGTTATCCCAACTTTAGCAAGATCAGGAATGGTGTTCTTCAGTGAATTATACCACCCTGCGTTTTCACTTGATGCCCAGTTGAATCCCTGTCAAATTGCATGTCGTTACTAATGAAAAATTGGAGTCAACACATTATACGGTTTAGTTCATGTGAAGATCAAAATAAAGAGAAGATATCATGATATACCTGAAATAATATTGTAGGAGAAGTGAAGGGAGGGAAGAGGGAGATAAAGAGGCACAAAAGGCCGAATGCAATTGGAACCTTCATGTTTTAAGCTTATGATGACTGAAGTGGATGTTCTAATTGCCTCTTATAGGCGTAACTGATTACCCCTCCCCGCCGCCCCACCCCCCACTACATCTTTCTTCTAATTTGGCCCCACTCAAAAAAAAAAAAATTTAATTGTCATTTCTCCATAATTTTTTAAAGAAAATTTCAATTATACCTTGAGTTTTGATTTTTAAGTATATTCATATTGCAAACTTAAGTCTAAAATAAACCAAAAATCAACTATACTACAATATAAATTTACAAGTTTTTAGACTTTAAACCTTAAATTTAAATTTGACTCTATTAATTCTTAAAAAAAAAAAAAATTAACTTTATAGAAGCTTAATTCATTTAGAATAAAGGAATAAAATAGATAAATGAAGATAAAAAATTACTGCATTACAATTTTAATTTAAAGTTTTGGGTTAGTCATGTCCGCTAAAAACAAAGTTTCTAGCTCCGCCACTGACCGTAGTCGAGGATGTTCCAAGAGTTTGTAGTCGTGATTGGAAACGACAGTCAATAACTATTCTTTTCGTTGGTATTTGATTTCCAGAACCATAGTCACAGCGTTCATAACGCCGTGCCGTACCAGAAGATTGCAAACACTTAAGACATTTCAATGCCACAAACAGGACGATATACACGTATGTTTATCCAAAGAGCAAGCGACACACGTCTCAAATTTTTCTATGGATTAACCTGCAGAACTTCTCCACTAACTATAGAAAATCATTACAATCCAGTGTGTATTTTGAGAGTTGTTCTTCTGTTCTTGTTTTATTTTTTTTTTCCCACCAAGATATAGAAATTTTGACAAACCCCTAGTTTCTCAATTTCTTTTATTCCTCGTTTTTCTTCTTATGTTTCGTTTCATTAAATTATTTAAAATTCTGTATCAAAGAGCTGGGCCAAAAAAAAAAAAAAAGAGTAGGCAACAAAACTGATGAACAGCAACGAGTATTCCTGTACTTGTCCCGGATAAAACTTAAGCAAGAGGATCCGAGGTCACAGAAGATTCTGCAGGCTCCGGAAGAAGGTAAGATTGCTCTATCCAATATAAAATTTCCAAAAAGATGATTTACACTTAAAAAATTCATTTAACGGAGACAAATTGAGAGATTGGAGATCAGTAAAGAAAGCAAGTAATTCACCGGTTGTCACCGAAGACACAAAAAAGTATTACCCTCAAAGTATTTGGCGATCTACTTCAAACCTCTCAAATAAACTCAATTGATGTGTTCGTTGGTAGGAATGTTATTATCTTTGCCAATATCATTTACTTCTTCCTATTGAATGTCCAAACCTCTCCAGGCACTCCAGACAAGGGCCGTTATGGGCCTCTAAGTGTACTCACAGTATCAGTTGGACCTTTTAAAGCACTTTTTCGTTTATTTCGCTGATTCGAGTTTAAAATTCGAGTTTTGCTACAGTAAAAAGCTATCAGAAACAGTCACATCTAACTTTTTTGCTACAGTAAAAAGCTCTCACACAACATCACATCTCAACTCGAATTAGCGAACCGAACGGCCCTAAGCACTTTCTAAGTCTACTCACAGTATCAGTTGGACCTTTGAAAGCACTTTTAAAGCACTTTCTAAGTGTACTCACAGTATCAAGGCCTAAACATTCTTGTTTAGGTGAAGTTGTAGCCACCACTGTTGGGTAATTACAAGTATCGTTTGTGTTTTTCAGTGAACGGAAGAGTGAAATATTATGCAGTAGAACGATATAGGAGAGCGAACGTTAACTGCCAGATGCAACACTTAGCTAATTGTTGCAACATAACGCAATAACGGTGAAAAATCCAACAATGCACCGAAGAAAATAACTTCAACACTGTCCACCCTTTCCGAACAAATATAAAAAATGAGAGGAACAAACAAGCAGACCCAAGTAAACTAGTAAACCATAAAAAAAGAACCACCAACTATATATTTAAGGTCTTGCATCAAGGGTTCTGTAAAATAGCACCATACTAACAGTGTATGGTGCTTAATTATATGAAAGACAGATTAAGACGGACAAATTTTGACCGCTTTTCCAATACAAAGCTCCATTTTCAGTTCAATTAACTCTTGCAAAAGCAAATATAGAGAAAGCAATTGCAAATGGTTCCCCAATGGATCTGCTTACAGCTTTGAAACTGGCATCTTAGGGAAAATGTCTGGTGTAAATTTCTGTGCGGCACTCAGACTGCCCTTGACCTTTAATATACCCCTATAAACATTTTTTTTTTTTAAAAATAAAAGAATTACAAGACAAAGTAAATACATAAACACGACTGAAAAGGGCAAAAACAAGACGTAAAAAGAAATTTAAAAGGTCTAACCTCATGAAAGCAATCTGGGGATTCATCTTCCCCGTTGCAATTTTGACAAAATCATCATCCTTGAAGGAAAAGGTGGCATCAGGCTTTACTCCTTCAGATGTTCCTGAAATTTTATATAAGAAAACTTACACAATAAGCAATTTATGCTAATGAAGGACATCATTTTATCCATTTTGTGACAATATCCGTTTTGTGTCTGTGAGACAAAAAGCCAAACCTCACCACATGAAATGAACAACTATAAGTTTATGAGAACAGAAAAACACGACAAGAAAGGTCATAGCAAGATTCTTGGACATTTTATCGAGCACAAACAGTCATTCTAAAATAACCTCACAAGGCCTAAGACAACAGAGAACAGAAAAATGCCTTCAAAAGGAAGAAACATGTTTGCATTCAAAAGGATCAGATGAGCCAAGACTGTGTTTGGAAGTCATTACATTTATTCCAAAGTATCACCAACGAAGACGTTCGAGCTACAACCAATGGCATAAAAAGTAAGTATAAGATTCCATGCAAAGCAACCGTCACTATTAAATACTTCAGTAACGACCTCTTGCCAAACAAGATATTAGATTGTAGTCTAAACTCTTCAATTCAACGACTTGATTAAAAAAAATTCTTCGACTTTGATTACAAGATTTCCGATTCCGGTCCAATCGATCAAGACGCAGTTTTTTCATCGTTAAAAACAAAGAATTTCACTTTTTGATACAATGATTGCAATTAAAATTCTCAGGACCATCCAAACAAACAAAACTCAGATCCTTCCCAAATTAGAACACAAAAACAGGGAACTAACCTTCGGTGACCACGCCTTTCTTGAGATCAACAGTGTAACTCACTTCGTCGAATCCAATTTTCTGCAAATCCAAAAATAGGGAAAATAAAAACCCTAAAAAATCAAGACACAGCAATCTCGGGGGAAAAAAAAAATTCACTTGTTCATCAAATAAAAATCTAACCTTGGGAGCGATATTGATCTGGTAGACTAGACCAACCTTCTTACAGAGCTCTTTTCCCTCATCGGTCTCGAAGTGCTGCTTCATCAGCTCCATCAACGTCTTCGCCTTCATCTGACCGCCGGCCATTCTCTCTCTCTCTCTAACAACGTCTGCAAAATACTACTGAAGCAACGAGACCATGCCCAAATAAGCTTCTGAATTAACCTACTTTATATTAAATAATTATTTACTGTGGTTTCCCGATAAAGGAAAACTAATTGGTACGATTTTAGTTTAGCCGGTGGGTGAGCAGATGGGCGTTGGCTGACGAATTAACTGCGCCTTCTAGAGAGAGAACAATTAACGCTTCGGATATGATCTGAGACGGACAAGCACGCATTTTCATGAACAAGTTTTTCGGTTTTTTTTTTTTTTTTTTGGTTATTTCTGATTTGGGTGAGGATGACGTGCGACTTTTTTTCTTTTTTCAGAACTTGGCTAACTCTTGCGCGTGGATAATGTTGTTATACTCGCTTTATTGAACGTAGATGAAATCTGTTGTATGAACTTTTACAAGTGGCTATTATAATGGCGCGATATAATTGAAATCTGTTGGACATTTTATCGAGCACAAACAGTCATTCTAGAATCCAATTTGAACTTGTATAGAAGTGTAAGTGTAGTTTAAATTTATTTAAGATTTTAAATTTGAAATATAAGTATTGAAATACTAACGATATAATTGAAATTTATTTAAAAGGAATATGCAAAAATCATAATAAAAAATTTTATAGAGGCAAATAAACGAAAAAATATGAAGAGCTTTTGAGTTAAAGAGTTGCCACCGGGCTTTGTTTTATGAAACTCCGATGTCCAATAATTTTATTTAGTGTTAAAAAAAACTTTTTTTTCCTTGAAGTAGTTTGTCACTGTAACTATGGTATGTTTTTTAATATTAAATTTAGTCAAAATTACATTAATATATATATATAAAATCAATAGAGTTATGTTATGAGGGAAAATCTATATTGCTACGTTAGACAACAAATAGGCTCCACGTGGCCACTGTCATGTCACATCAGACGGTAAATAAACGTTCACGAAGGATCAGCTTTCCAACTTATTGAGGTTCAGTTTGAGGTGTCAAACGTGCCGTGTCAGGCCGGCACGACACGTATGACCCTAGGCCCGCCATGGGACTGAGTCGTGCCGGCACGACCTTGAACAGTCTAGGGCCATACCCGGGCCGGGCCTGAGGGAAGGCCCTCAGGCCCAGCACGGGCCCATGCCCTCGTCCATGAGGGCCAGGGCCCAGGTTCTTCGTGGGCTAGCCCTGGCCCTTTTAATTTTTTTTTCAATATTTAATTAAATATATATATATATTATATGCCCCAAAAGATGTGATTTTATTGAATTGAGATAATACAAATAAGTACACATAAATGACTGCCTCATTAAAAATCTTGTCAAGTAAAACCCGTGGGGAGATCGGGACAAAACCTTAGCGGAGGAAAAAAGATTGCAGTATTCTAGGATAAGTAAATTACAAAACCTAAGTGCTTTCAGAAGATTCTGTTATATATAAGATAGAAAAATATTTTTGAATTGAATCATCTGTATATTGTTGTTTTCGTCATTTTGCATCTTCTCAGTCTTTAACGCACATTAGTCCCTCCAAGATATTCAGATACATTCTGTTTCTCTTTTCATCAAGAATTTGGTTGCTTGCACTAAATGATTGCTCTGATGCTACCGTTCACACTGGAGTTGTCAGAATGTCATGGGTTATTATGGACAGTATTAGAAAATGATCGGTCTTGCTCCTCCACCACTGTAAGATGTCCAGTTTGTCGTCATCGATTACAAAATTTGATTCAAAATATTTTACCAGTTTGGTAGATTCTTGTGTTGATGATGTTCCTGACGTTTTCTCTTTCTTCTTCAAGAAGCTCCACGATGAACCTTTAAACCCCGAACTGCTAGTTGACGTCGAAGTTCCCTGCTCTTTTTGACCTATTTCGTATTTTGCTTCATACAAACTAAATAATTTTTATAACATTTTTCTAGCATCAGTAATACTAATAGTTACTTGCATATCAATACTTAAATTTCCTGTCGTAGCAGTCATCAAAGATTCGGTCTCATCTACTCAACATCTAGGATTTAAAATGGTTGCTAATGCATATAATATAGGACAACCAAACCAATAATTTTTAAATTTAGCTTCTATTAACTTAACTATAGTTTCAAAAAGTTCAATATTCCTATAAAAAGAAAATATTTTTAAAATATTAAATAATTAATGCAAAGCTAAATATGCAGTAAGATAATAAACTCTAAAAAGTAATATTGTAAAAAATTTCTAGAAAAGCTCACCCATCAACTTTCCCTTTAGAAAAACTCCAAAATAGTCTTGGGTTTGTCTTTTTTACATCCTATTAACCTTTGAAGTGCTTAGAATTAAAAAATTTATCTTGTTCTTCACCACCAAATCTATCTCATCTGAATCTAACCCACCTCACAAAATCCCTAAAAAAAAATAAATAAAAAAAGGAACACGTTTTTCTCTTCTAAAAAACCAAGCTTTGTTGCAGAAAGCCTTCAAACATGCAAGATCCAGAAGATCCCAACTTTGCAGCTACCCTCAACCCCACCAGCTGACCTCTCCCTTGCCCTTCAGATCTACAGCCGCCATCACTGTCGTAGTCGTCGTCGTTGTCGCCACCATGCCATCTCCCTACATCAGACGATAAGAAAGAAGAATGAACAGGAACAATAAAGCAGCCACATTCATCCATTTAGCGTCATTTACTAGATGATTGGCAGCACAGGATGTAAGAGTAGTCTACTAGATGACTAAGAGTCATTTACTAGATTACTGTGGTTACTAATCGGTAATCTACCAAATTATAAATAATTAATCTGCCAAATTATGTTACCTATTTCAACGCGTTTCATTGATTGTCTTTAGCACTGGTTGCTGGAGTAATCTGGTAGACTACTACCGATACTGTACCATATTGATTTCCAAAATCAATGCTAAATTAACTCTCAAAACCGTAACATTCAAGACAAGTTATTTATGACCGTGAATGGTCTAAAAATGCTAAGTCTCAAAGTGCTAACACGTTCTAATATGACAGAACTGATCAAAGTATAATTAGCAATCCTTGCGAGAGGGAAAAAAAAAGTATTGATAGCAATCAAACTCATAAAATACTTCATTCTACTAAATAACGAGTGGCAGTGAAAAATCTAGGTGCATCTTTGTTGCTAGTGTTAATCTGCTGGCTCGTACTTCTCTTAATCCATTCGAATTACTAAAAAAATGCAAGGAAATATACTCCATGTACGCATTAGCCAATCCTAAGAAAGCTAATCTTATTCTTTTTTATTTTATTTTTAACAATCGGGATTGAAACCGATAAACTCCAACAAAATCAGCAGTAAATGGAGTTAGAAGAAACTATAACAGATAATATATATTAAAAGTAAAATACAAGTGTAAATTAGATCCCTTGTTTCTTATTTAGTTCAACCCATTGGGGTTACTTTCATGAGCAAGTGGAAGCAATCCCTTTTCACGACATGTCTGAACTGCTCCAACGAACATATTCTCCAAGCTGTATTTGTACTGAAAACTCAATTCCTTCAACTTCCTTGAAGAGAACTCCACATTTTCTATGTTCTCTTCAAAGCCTTTGAACCTGATCACAATATTAGTACTTAATTAGCTTAGCATAAAATACAACTTTACTTTTGTTTATTTATTTATTTTTTATATACATATAAAAAAAACTGATCTCTTCTCTATTGGCTTTACTACAAGATATAATAGTATTAAAAGATTTAAAATTATCAACTAGAGATTGTCTCATTGCATAAAACACTTTTATGCAATCAGAACGAGTTGTGTTTCTACTTACCCGTTTAAATTATGGCAGAAGGCCGTCTGTATGAATTCTTCAAACGCTGCATCATGTGTAAAAGAAAGAGGTAATTCGGCACTAGCTAAAAATTTGGCTAGTGCCTCACGAGCACATTGTGCATCGTATGTAAAATTTTGCAACTCTTGTGATGTGAGTAATAGTGTTTGTTGACGGGAGTCCACACTCCCACCTTTGTGCAACGGTAGACATGCTTTTCAATGTCTATCCAGATGATCAGTTGCCTCACCCTTTTTATTAGAAAATTACTTTTTACAATATTTACATACCGCAAGAATTTTTATTTCACCTGTTTTCAGATTTGGTCGGGGCTCTTTTGTGAAATGTTGCCATGCGGGAGAAGTTCGCGGTCTTTTTCCCTTGCTACGTTCCCCAACTTCCTCATTGTGAACTATAGCATTATCAACTGGAGCAGTTTCTAGTTTAGTGGGGTGGTGTTGTGAGCCAACATTTCATCCTCGTAAAATGGCTTATCACCAAGCTCAAAGAGAGCAATGAAATCAGAAAATTTTGATGCAACCATTTTCTGAAAAAAAAAAAGTAGAAACTAATGTTAATTCGTTCATTTATAAACAATAAACAATATAAATAAACTTGAGTAATACAATGCTGTGTAACAAAATTGATAAGTAGAATACCTTTTTTTTCAGGGATTTCTGGAAATTGATTGAACTTTGTAAATGAAATAGCAAGAAAATGAGTAATCGAGAGAGAAAAGCATAGAATCAATATCAAAGAGACAAGATCTCGAGAAGGCAGCGTGATCAGTTATCTGACCCAGATCTCTAGAAGACCCTATGAGGCGATATGAGAGAAATTCCTAGATTACTTGCGGGTATAAACAAAATCATTAGCTAGAAAAATATTTACCAGCCTATTGGCCACCCAAAATAGACCAATAGAAAATCACATGGAAGTCACAGGGCCACAATTTTGGGCAGAGTAGGTAGATGAACGATCAGAAAAGCACTGTATAGCTACAATCTATTTGAGTAGGATAATAAGCTACTTGAGAGAAACTGCATGGTAACTATTAGCCTCAATTTTCTCCAATATGTAATCTGTGAGATATAAAAGGGGCATGGCCCAAGAGAGAAAGACAGAGACTAATACGGGCATATGAGAGAACCAAATTACTGACAATCAAAAAAGAGAGAAATTTCTCAAAGTGGATGTAGCTCTTGTATTGAGAGTGAACCACTATAATTCTTAGTGTTCTTATTATTTCTTTGAGTTTCTTTCGTATTCAGAAAAACCCATAAAGCCCATACACAATCAATTGCACTTATTTAACCGAATTTTATCGAATATAAAACAGTTATTTAGACACAATTTAGTCAGTAGTCTAACCGACTACTAAACAATAATCAAGTGTATTTATATTGATAAAATTTTACCGTCAACAGTTACATATAAATATTTTGATTGAAGATAGATGGATACATAACTTCTTTCGCCCCTATTGTAAAATTATCATTCAAAGACAAATGTTATCATTGTGCAAGAGCTCAATTTAAAACAAGTCACACGCAATGACAC